ATAAAATTGATCAAATACCATTATAGTTGATATAGCTTAGCTAATGTGTAACTAATGGACAAATTTTTTTCCAAATAGAGTAAGGCAGGGTTATTTTGCCAGTTTTTTTGCCATCTGTGTCCAATTGGAGAAAAATGACTTTCTGTCCCATGGCTAAAACAGGAAGTGACAGGAAATCTCTCCAAAGTGAGGGAATCCCAATGTGTCACCAGAACCAGTGTCCTCATTGGAAGATATCTTCTCTGTTATCTTTCTGATATCAACCAAAATTTGGGATTTTCTTTAACTTCCACTTTTTGTGAAAATGGCAAATGAGACAAATAGAGGAGATAACACTTCCTAACAGGGGCACAGACAACACCCAAAACTAACAGGTGTTATAAACCTTCTCCACTCTACCCAATGTTTTGCCTTTGGTTACATTTTAATGAACATCTTTCATCAACATTAAAACAATATCTCCCATCAAACACATAATAGTAAAACTTGTACTGTGAGAATTTTTGAAGGTTCTTGATAAACCATACAAATTGGGTGGCCCTGTCTTCCCTTTCCCACCCGACATTCTCCAATTGAAAAACTGAAGGAGCCAAGCAAAAAGTTCTCAGCCAAACAGTGCCTGCATTCAATCAGATGCAGGATCTGTATGGGTATTTTGACAGTTGCCCAACAGCCACTATACAATAGCGGCACTGGGGGATTAGTCCACCCCACAGGCTAACAGTAAAAAAAAATTATTTTTTACTAAATTGTATGAAATGTTTTAACCACTTCCCGACCACCCTATAGCAGAAATACTGCTACAGGGTGGCACAGGTGTTCAAAATCACGCCATTTGCTGTAGCGGCTGTCAATCACCAGGTCCTGGCCGGTGATTACTCTCCAGCGCCTGGTGATTACCAAAGATCTCTGGTGGAGAGGAGAACTGTTTTGTTTACTAACAGTTCTTCTCCCTATCAGCTCAGGCACACTGCTTTGGATGGCTGTGCACAGCACAGCCATCCAAAGCAGTGTGCTTACAGTGAAGCACATAGACACCGCCCCATAGTAAAACACACCCAGCACACAGTTAACCCTTTGATTGCCCCTCTTGTTAACCCCTTCCTGCCCAGTGCCATTAGTACAGTGTCAGTGCTTTTTTTTTTTAGCACTGATCACTGTATTGGTGTCACTGGGGATATCAGTGACACCACGCCAGTTCCCCCCCCAGTGTCAGAATGTCCAACACAGTCCTGCAGTCCCGCTATAAGTCACTGATCTCTGCCATTACTAGAGGAAATAAAAAACCCAGTATATATACCGCCATTTGTAAACGCTATAACTTTCACATCAACCAATTAATTTACACATATTGGGATTTTGTTTAGCAAAGACATGTAGCAGAATAAATTTTGGTCTACATTTTTGATGAAATTTGATTTTTTTAATTTTTTTTTACTGGACATGTTTAATAGCAAAAAGTCAAAAATATTGTTTTATACTCAAAATTGTCGGGCTTTTTTTTTATAGCGCAAAAAAATTGAAAAAAAAAAAAGCACAGGTGATAAAATACCATAGAAAGAAAGCTCAATTTGTGGGAAAAAAAGGAGATAAATTTCATTTGGATGCGGCATTGCATGACTGTGCAATTTTCAGTTAAAGTAACAGAGCGCAAAAAATGGCCTGGTCAGGAAGGGGGGGAAATCCTTAGGAGGGCAAGTGGTTAACCATGCCTGTTGTTTTTTTTGTATCTAACCATCATATTCTCATCAAAATTCCCTTCCCATAAATATTGCATTTATTTTATGATATGAAATTGTTATTATCCTTTCGATCCTTTATTTCTAATGAAATGTTATTTTATATGTCTCTGTTTTCTATTCTGAGTATGATACTTATTGTATCGTAAAGCATCACAGTAAGAGGATACGATCTAGAAATCAATAACACTAGCCATATCACATCTCCTTTTCTTCAGTTGCCCTATACTGTGATATTCCTATTCCTTGACGATTTCACAGTCCTACGTGAGATACGCCAGTGACATTGTGAAGAATGCATTCCCAGGGATGCTTAACATTTGAAAATATTTGTATTTAGCCCCCTTGGTTATCATGACATATTTATATGCGTTCCTTTTGTTGTACCTTAGGGGAAAATACCTAATCTATCATCATTTACAAACTGAATATCATAATTTAACATGAAGCAATATCCTTGTGCCCCCACAAATGTGTCTGTTCTATTACTGGATTGGCAGTATCAATAATAATGGACAGATTAAATTCCAAAAGGAGTATATTTGTTTCTGTTTTCATAATTCAAGGTGAAATATGGCTGTTTGCTGCTGTCAGTTCTCATACATACCAATGGTACATTACAACATCACATAAAGCTGATTTTTTCATCTAGTATAAGTATCTATTGGGTACTGCATATCTCACAGGTATGCCACCCCTCATTTGTTTTTGTCATAATTAGCTTGATGTCCTCTGTGCGTGAAGTCTAATTCACAAATGGTAATATTTTCACACAGCTAAACTCCACTATATTGCATAAACTGTTGACTTCTTTATGAGTAAATTGTTATTTACAACATTTAAATTAGCCTACAAATTGTCTGAAGAGCTTAAGCTGATCATTTACGGTATTATATAAAACCTTGAGAGAACCTTGAGGGATTCATGCTAATGAAGAAAAGTTGGGAAACCTTTGATTCCATATCTTTTTAGTGCAGAGATAATCCACACCTGGGGTTCTCAGGTGGGGAACTGGAAAATTTTGACCTGGAAATCAAACAACCACCGGTCCTTTATATCAGCCTTCTAAACCAGGGTGCTCAGGCACCCTGGGGTACCTTCAGGCTCTTTCAGGGGTGCCTTGGCAATATGCTTAAAAACTGCTCAAAAAATGTATAAAAGCCAGCAGGTGGATCAAGCCTGCTTTTTAGTTAAACAAAGCCATATGTTTTCATTGCACACTTTTACAACCTGCCAGCTGCAGGCATCCTAACAACCAGGGGCGTCCCTAGGCAGGTGCGGGGGGTACGCGCCGCACCGGGTGACACCTCCCGCACGGGGTGACATCGGACCCTCTCCACAAAAAGATGAGTTGTAAAGCAAGCGGACAATCCCCGCTGGATGGATCGGATCTGCGGATTGAGCATAATGGATTGGAGTCCGACTCCGATCTATTATGCTCCCCAATCCGCAGAACCGATCCATCCTGCAGGGATCATCAGTATGCAACCTATACGGGGTGATACCGGACCCGCTCGATGAAAAGGTAAGTTGTAAAGCAAGCCGATGATCCCCGCAGGATGGATCGGATCTGCGGATTGAGCATAATGGATCGGAGTCCGATCCATTATACTCCCCAATCCGCAGATCTGATCCATCCTATGGGGATCTTCGGCTTGCATTACAACTTACCTTTCGTGGAGAGATCAGTTAACCCCGTATAGGTTGCATGCCAAAGATCCCCGCAGGATGGATCGGATCTGTGGATCGGGGAGGATAGTGGATCGGACTCTGATCCATTATGCTCAATCCGCAGATCCGATCCATCCTGCGGGGATCATCGGCTTGCTTTACAACTTACCTTTTCGTGGAGAGATCAGTTAACCCTGTATAGGTTGCATGCCGAAGATCCCCGCAGGATGGATCAGATCTGTGGATTGGGGAGGATAATAGATCGGACTCCGATCCATTTTGCAGGGAACGTTGGAGGGGGTGTCACCAAGTGTTACTGCATCGGGTGAAACCAACCCTAGGGATGCCCCTGCTAACAACCAATGACATCATTAGTTGATAAGGAGCACGTCGGGCACCTGCACAGCATCCTTGTTTGCCCTCTCTTTATCAGCAGTGGGGTCACATTAGCTGAGTGAAGGAGAGAAACCAAGGGAGAAACACTGGAATACTAGTCAGTACCAGTTTGCAAAGCAATATTTGCTTTGGAACAATAAATCACCTCTAACATTGGGTGTCCTACGCGTGTGGATGTTGCTGCATTATATACTGTAAAACTGTTAGAATAATGTTTTTCATTTTAGAATGGGGTGCCTTGATATTCTGCAGAATGTTAAAGGGTACCTTGAGATTGTCCATAATTTTAAAGGTGCCTTGACTGAAAAAATGTTGATAAACACTGCTTTACATGATGGAGATGGTTTCCTGCAGTCTTATGTAAGTGCACCATAGAAAGTGTGCCACAGTACTTGAGTTATTGGTAGCCTTGGTGAAAGGTGGACGTGATTTATTGTAACAGACTTTTTCATATGCTGAAACTGGGGGAGTGAAAGGGATAAAGTGCATATAAGTACTTTATTAGCTAACCAAGATGTCTGCAGCTGAGGAAAATGATGTGTACTTACCTAAATAAAATAGTAAATAACATACCATGCCATTGTAGTAGAGTGCCCATTTGATCACCATCATCAGATGGAGGTGGAGACCACTGCTTCCCTCCCTCTGGAGCTCAGAGAGGTCACACCTGATGAGGCAGAGGTACAGTAGTTGGGCAAGTGATCTTCAGCCAGGTGAGAAGACCTCCACTGTTAGCACCAGTGTTCAAGCAGCCAGGCAGGTGCATGATAGCAAGCAGATTCTCCCAAAGCAACTGTGGGGAACTCCTCCCTGATTGCTACCAAAGTACTCCAGTTCTAGTTAGGTGGCCCTTTGTCCCTGGGCCTTGGATCTCTCCAGCTGTTCACTTTATTACTAAAGCTACCCTGGACTTCACTGGTAGGGATGCTATTTCTGAGGACAATCTTAACCTCTTGCCGACCGCGCATAGCCGAATGACGGCTTCACCGCGACCGGCCAGTTCTGAGTGGACGTCATATGACGTCCTCCCAGAACGCGCTCTCCTGCGCGCCCCAGGGGGCGCGCACCCGGCGATCTCCGTGATCGCTGTGTCCTACGGACACAGCTGATCACGTGATGTGGTGAAAGGCCGATCCCACCGGCCTTTTACCGCGTGATCAGCGGTGTCCAATGACACGCTGATCACAGGGAAATACAAGTGCCGGTTCTCGGCTGCACTTTCCTCACGCTGTCAGATCGTGAGGAAAGTACTGCCGAGAACCGGCAGTTGTCAGAGCGGGGATCGGCACCAATCATCAGGGCACTGATGATCAGTGCCCTGATGATCGGTGCCCAGCAGTGACACCCGCAAGTTCCGCCCAGCAGTGCGCCCACTAGCCTCGCCCACCCGTTCCCAGCAGTGCCCCCACCTGTGCCCAGCAGTGCACCCACCTGTGCCACTCTGCAGTGCCACCTACCTGTGCCCAGAAGTGCCACCTACATGTGCCCAGCAGTGCCACCCACCTGTGCCCACCCACCTGTGCCCACCAGTGCCACCCACCTGTGCCCACCAGTGCCACCCACCTGTGCCCACCCACCAGTGCTGCCCACCAGTGCCACCCACCAGTGCAGCCCAGCAGTGCTGCCAGTCAGTGCCACCAGTCAGTGCCCAGGGGTTGTGCCAGTCAGTGCTGCCAGTCAGTGCCCAGAAGTGATGCCAGTCAGTGCCGTCTATCAGTACCCATCATCAGTGTCACCTATCAGTGCCGCCTATCAGTGCTGCATATCAGTGCCGCCTATCCGTGACCCCTAATTAGTGCTGTCTATCAGTGCCGCCTATCCGTGCCACCTCATTAGTACTGCCTATCAGTGCCCTTTAGTGCCCTTTAGTGCCCATCAGCCTATCAGTGCCCATCAGTGCCGCCTCATCAACGCAAATCAGTGAAGGAGAAAAAATACCTGTTTGAAAAATTTTATAAAAGAAACAAATAAACTTTTTTTTTTTTTTTTTTCAAATTTTTTGCACTTTTTTTTAATTTATAGCGCAAAAAGTAAAGCGCCCAGTGGCGATTAAATACCACCAAAAGAAAGCTCTATTTGTGAGAAAAAAATGATCAAAATTTCATATGGGTACAATGTTGCATGACCGCGCAATTGTCAATCAAAGTGTGGCAGCGCTGAAAGCTGAAAATTGGCCTGGTAAGGAAGGGGGTATAAGTGCTTGGTAGGCAAGTGGTTAAGTGGCCTTGTTCAGAAAAGTTTTACTGAAGTAGTGACTCTCAGCTAGAATCTCCATTGCTATTGAGTCACAGAGATATTGCTGTGAAGAGTCCATGTTTGTGCAGGTTTTATAATCAGACTCCGCAGCGTATGCATGTGTTTTGCTATCGTCTGCCTGTTTTTTCATTATTGTGCACTGTATGGATGGTCTTTACAGGAAAGTGGACAGATAACTCTCCAGTCAGTCTGTTAGTTTGGAGAAGGGAGGGACAAGGAGGAGGTAGGAGCAGAGGAGTGCCTTGCCATCCTAGGCTATAGGGCTTTGTGTTTCTATTGATACACACAATGTAGAGAAGAGAGTCACTGTATCTAAGGGTGACTCAATAAGATGCTGCAAGTAAAAGTAGCATCCCTGAAACAGGAAACTTGGGGCAGAAGTCAAGGCACCTGCTTATACTGGTCTCCACTATAGACTACTATATCTGGTCTCCCACAGTACACAGAACATGAAAATGCAATTATTTTAGTAATATAAACTGCTAAATACCTTTTCTCATCAGCAGTTAGCGCAGTCTGGTGACTTCTATCAGTGTCCAGCTGAGCACTGGTAAAGCTTGTAGGATGAGTTTTTATTCTGCTCTTACTGTCCTATGATGCTGCATAACCCCTGACCCTCTGATTTGCCCTGTACTGATCACATGCACTCTCCCAAATAAAAAAAAAACTCTCTGGCAATACACACTAAAACTGAGCATGTACAGAGTGACTCCTAGAGCTCTGTATTATCAGCAGATGGATTGGAGACAGTAGAAGAAAGGGAGGATCAGAGAAGATCAAATTAAAAAATTTAAAAAATATTCCTGCATTTGTTATTCGGATAATAAATAATATTTTGTCTTTCATTTTCTATGTATTTACTAAAACTTTTTTACATTTATACATTTCATACATTTTGCATACTGTTTTTGTTTTGCAAATGTTCTCAGAATAATTCCACTGTACTTTTTCTATCCTCACATACCTTAAAATGCCATGTAAAAAATGGGCCAAATAGCAGTAATTTAATTTACTTGGCAATTGTTCGCGTTATTCTGAAACCAAGATGTGTTGTATGACTCATGCTGAAATAGATTCTCATCAGATTCATGACTCAGCACATTTGGAAAGATAACGGCAAACTTTAATGCACAGATAACTTTTCCAGAAACATATTGACAGTTTTCTAGCAGAGAATCATTCCCTTCTTTAATCAGAGGCTGAGACAATCTTTTCATGCAGTATTAATCAGTAAAATGCACAGAACATTGTAATAATGAAAAAAAAAGCACAAACAGTTTATGTTGGTGTTGTCTAAATGTAACATTTTCCCAAGCCCTCTATTTAAGTGAAGCACACAACTTTTGAAACTTACAAATAAAATATAAAAAAGTCAGCTAAATGTATATTTAAAGCACACACATACACACACTCAACTGAAATATTTGTAACTAAATGAAAACACTCTCTATTGACCTTTGCTGTGATATAGGGCCCAAAAGCATATGTAGCAATATAGTCATCAAAATCCATGCAACTCTCACAAGCGGCACTCATTCTTTGAAATACTAATAAGGATCACCATTGTAAAGCTGGGTAAATGTGTCTAATAACGGTTCTGCTTTAAAACCAGCATTCAAACAGCGCTTGGAGCCAATGGCGGATGAAAAAAAAAAGTCAGTGTGTATACCCTGCTTAAAGTTGTAAAAGCTTAAGGTTTTTTAAACCTAATGCATTCTCTGCATTAAGGTAAAATCCTATTGTCAGCTCCCCCCAGTCCCCCCAAATACTTACCTGAGCCTCATCTCGATCCAGCTCTGCTCTTTTCTTCCCTCCTCACCGCATTCAGTGAGAGCAGCTGGGGCCATTGATTCCTACTTCTGTCAATCAAATCAAGTGATGAAAGAGCAGGAGGCAGGGCCAAGTCACACTGTCACCCCACCCCACCCAAATACTTTCCTGAGCCTGATCTCGACGTGATGCTGCTCTCTCTCTGCACTAATCTCAGAGCAGCTGGAGCCATTGGCTCCTGCTGCTATCAATCAAATCCAGTGATGGGGGAGCAAGGGGTGGGGGATCCGAGCAGCACTGTGTGTGTCTATAGACAGACACAGCCCAGCTTGGGATCGAGCCTGTACATGTGCCACCATAGAAAGCTGCTATATCTGGTCTTTTAGTCAATGATTTACAGCAAATCATGTTTAGATCATGTGTTGCATTACTTTTGAAATGGTTTAATGTAAGGCAACCCTACAAAATCTTAGACTTTTCCCAGATCATTGTGTTTGGATACTAGTTTAGTAAATGAGAATGGTAAACTTAACCCTTTCCCTGCCAGGTCCTTATGGTAGAGACCTACAGCACTGCTTCCAGCTGGCCAGGTCCTCACGTAGTACGACCCTGGCATTTCTTACATTCCTGCTTCTGCTACAAGCTCATAGTCACTTCAGTGACCATGAATTTATAGCAGAAATGCTCAGCAGACTCTGCTAAACAAAATATTAGCTCAGATTAGCAGCTAGCAATCTCCTGATCAGAGATATTAACGTAAAATGGGACCCCCCCCCCAAGCCCGCCATTGATTCTGTGCCTCTCACCCCCCGCTTTTTTTTCCCCTCCACTTCTCCTAACTGCTTCTAAGTTGCAACCACATCCCCCTTACTTGCCCCGTCCTCCCCCTTTTATGTGTCCCCCAGCACTGATTTCCCTCCCCCCAAACTTCCATCTACCCCCACACCTCACCCTCCAGCAAGCTGCAGCACTGATAGCTGTCAAGATGGAGATCAGGGTAAGGAGGGAGAGCACAGCTGTGGCCCTCCCTGTTCTAAGCAAACCCCTCCTGCCCCCCCATCCCCTGTGACACCCCCTCAATCCTCTGTGCCCCCTTCATGCAATGCTGCTAGCAAGCTCTCCCTCCTCACCCTCCGGCCAGCTGTGGTGCTGACATCTGTCAGGATGGATAGTGCGATAAGGAAGAAGAGCACAGATTTGGCTCTCCTGTTCCCTGAACCCCCTGCACCCCCATACCCTGTGGCACCTCCAATCTCCCCCCGATGCAGTGCTTTTAGCAGGCTCTCCCCCCTCACCCTCCCAACAGCGTTGGGAGGGTGAGGGCTCACCCTCCTGCAGCATTGACAGCTGTCAGGATGGGGGGGAGACTGGTCCTTTCCTTAATGAACACAGACAGCAATCAGTACAGAACGCTTCTGTATTTATTAATCACTGACACATAGTAAGCTGCATTTACTATAGGGTTTATTTACTAAAGCTCAAAATCACTCAGAATCTTGTGCACTTCTGCATAGAAACCAATCAGCTTCCAGGTTTTATTGCTAAAGCTTAATTGAAAAAGCTGAGGTTAGAAGCTGATTGGCTACCATGCACAGGTGCATCAGATTCTGAGTGAACCAGTTTTAGTAAATAAACCCCTATGTCTCACCACAGGCTGCAGAGTAAGGGACTGTCTTCAGTCACTTTCTGTCTCAAAAAGAGACATTAGAGCCCAAAGCTCCCCCCCCAAAAAATGAAAAGAATATTTAAATAATATAATAAAAATAATTAAAAAAAGTTGTTAAAAAAAATACAAATAAAAAAAATATTAAGGCTAGGTTCACACTAATTTTTGAGTACGTTCGATTTTCACCATTTTGCAAAATGCGGAATTTAAAATTTACAAATAATTATTTATTAACTCTATACAGAGTACACTTTTATATTTAGTAGGAATTTAGCAAAATGTGCTGGGTTTGTATCTGCTAATAATGATGTTAGTGTAAATTTTTTAGCTAAAATATTGTTTTGATAAACATTTGCGTAAATATTGCGCGGGTCTTAAAATTCAGTAGCAATTTCTTTTTATTCTACTAGTCATGTGCTTTCAGAAAATATATGGTTTGTGAGATATTTTACAAACTGTCGAGCGTTCTCTCCTCTCCCCTGCTGCTGGCTGACACAGGGGATCTTGTGACTGGACCAAAGCAGGCTGATAATAGGTAAGTGTCAGGGCTGGGCTCCTGCTACTTAACCGCATGCCGCCCAACCACTGTACATGTATGGCGGCAGGGCGGCACTCACAGGCAAAACCACGTTTTAAGACGTGTGTTTTGTAAACAAATAGGGGCCGCCCTATTTGTCCTGTGGATCACCGCCGCAGATGTCAGTCGCCGGGTCACAGCCGCTCCTTAGCGGCTATGTCCCGGCGATCGGCGGGCAATCAGTGACAGAGAGCACAGCTGCAGTAGCTGTGCTGTCTGTCACTTCCTTCTCAGCTCGAGGATGAGCTGATCGAGAAAGAGGAGTTTCTCTTTCTCAATCATCCTTGTCCCGCCCAGTACACAC